CCGCGGTCGACTATGTGGGAATCCAGCGACATAGCCATTACGCTAACTGCTGGTTCCCAAGACTTCTTATTTTGAGACAGAGAATTTTGCTATAGGGCACCTGTGCTCACCAGAGACAGAGACAGAGACAGAAAGTAAGAAATCGCCCCTGGAGGGATGCCATGCCACGATCCCTTCTCCTCCACTCTCCTCTCAGGATTTTGGGTGCACACATGGGATCAGGACTCGAACCACAGTCCACTACGTGGGAGTCCAGCAATGTCACCATTAGGCATCCACTCACTGGTGTCCCAAAGCTGAAGCCGTCACCATTAGCCATCCACTCACTGGTGTCCCAAAGCTGAAGCCTTTTGCTCAGTGATTCTACATTTTTGGCTACCACGAGGCCTTGTTCCCTGGTCATTCTAAAGTGAGGCCAGGAAGAGAGAGAGAGAGAGAGAGAGAGAGCACGAGCGCGCAGGAAAGTGAGAAAGCAGGTAGGAGGGGAGAATTTGTTGGCAGTTGGCCATGTGAGAGTCCAATGCCCTTAACTACCATGCTACCTACTGGCCCCTCAATATTTTTAAATCTGTTTTTGAGCGTAAAATTTGCCAGCCTCAGACACACAAGATTCCTAGCCACGTCTCAGTGGGCAGTGCTGCAGCGATAAATACTTGCCCGCGGCCGTGCAAACGTAACCGTCTATCTCCGAACTTTCATCTCCCACACGGAAACGCTGCGCCCAAACAGTAACTCCCCATTCTCTCCTCCTCCGGGCCCTGACATCACCGTTCCACTTTCTGTCTGAATCTGACCATCCCAGGTACTCAGAATGGAGGAATCACAGCATTTGTCCTTGTGACTGGCTTATGTCACTTAGCATTATATCTTCAAAGGTCACCCATGTTGACATGTGTCAGGATTTCCTTCCTTTTGAAGGCTCAATAATAGACCATTATAATGGACATTCCGTATTTTCTTTATCCACTCAGCAGTCTTTTGAAGACGCTTGGGTTGCTTCCGGCCTTTGGCTACTGGGAGCAACGCTTCATCGAGCGCAGGTGCATACTGTCTGGAAGTTTTTGCGCGATGTATGTTTTCATGACGTACGTGAAATTGCTGGGTCACATGGGAATCCTACACTTAATCTTTTGAGGAACTGCCAACCGGTTTGCAAAGTGGTTGTGCCATCTAAGTTCCCACGGACAAGGGGTCAGACCCGATTCCTCTAGATCCCCGCCAACACTTTATGCATGTCCTTTACCGTGCTCGCCCGAGAACGCGGCGTGGCAGATCTCCCTGATCTCATCACACGCGAGATGCTGGCGGGCTGTCGTGGTTTCGGCGTGAACGAGACGGGGGCAGAGGAAAGGCGAAGATGTGATTGACCAAGAAAACATTGCTGATGACGAAATGAGTGTGACTTGGGAACATTCTAAACGTAGGGAGGGAACACTCAATTACAGCAGTGAGGTTTTGAGCTCGGTATCTGAAAGGAAGATGGTTTTAGGCAGAGAAACGTCACTGTAGGAAGGAATCTGAAGAGTAGCGTGAGGAAGAGGTGAGACGGGCCCCCGGGGTGACCAAAGCCTGCACCCGCCGCATCCCCGTGTCCAGCGCCTGGGTCCCGCCATGTCACCACCATGCCCACGACAAAGGCTAAGGGGCACTGACGGAGGGAACCCCAAGGTGAAGGAGCAGAGAAGGCCTGCATGGTTGCCCGTGACCGCCAAGGTGAAGGAGAAGCAGAGAAGGCCTGCATGGTTGCCCGTGACACCTGCTCCAGAGCCAGAGCCCAAGCCTACGAAGGCCCCTGCAAAGAAGGGAGAGAAGGTCCCCAAAGGACAGAGGGGGAAGCTGAGGCTGGCAAGGACGGGAACATCCCTGCAGAGAGTGGAGATACCGAACATGGCGGCGCAGGGAGCGCAGGTGCTGGAGACGCCGCGCGTGGTGTGTGCGTTGCTGACAACCGTGTGCTTCTGCTGACGGCACAGCTCAAAATGCTATGTTTAAATCAAGTTTTATAAAAATGCAGAATGGTTCTACTTCTTTATTTTTTTCTAAGCGATGTTGTTAGCACACAGAACGCTTCGTTGCTGTTGTGTGGGGAAGGGGCACCTGTCACTACCGGACTGTCTCCGAAGCTGGACTGCGAGCCTTCCTCTCAGCTCCCAGGAGGAGGGAGTCCCTGACGCTGACACACAGCCACCTTGGCACAGATGCCTGTGGTGTGGACAACTTAACATTTGCTTCTTCCACCTTCAGCATAGACTTAATTCCATTAAACCAGAGACCCGTTGGGACCTGGCCGCGAAAACCTTGGTCAGTGTGTCGGGCTACCTGGACTTCCCAGTAACATCAAAATGGCATCCCTCAAAGGGGCAGCAACTCTTTTCTAAATCGCTGGATCTTCACGTTGACCATTCCCGTCATTCCAGTTCCTGAACGTCAGCGTCGGCTCAAGAGTTGCGAAACAACGTGCTGAATGTGAAATGTCAACCCTCGCTCTAAACTTCTCCTGTTCAGACCATCAAAGAAAGACTTCCCTGGGTTTTCACAGTGGCTTTCTGATTTTGGTAGTCCATTGAAGAAAGGGAGTTTGAGAGTTGTCCACTGTTAACGATTGTCTGCCCATATCCTGCCCGAAACACTTCGATTGCTTACACAAAGTATCTTTAATAAAGCTGAATACAATTTGGTTTGGAAAAAAAAGAAAGGAATCTGAAATGACAAAATAAATTCTTGGCATTATGTGTTTTAGAAAAATCCACTTATTCTCAATCAGTAGCTACCAGCTAGGGGACGTTCAGGAGGGTGGGGCTGAGACAATGAAGTATCACCCTGTTTTGTGAAGAAAGTACTGAATGAACGCCTATCGGTACGGCGAGAGCAGGCCATTGCTCGTGTGTGCTCACGGTCCCAAGGCTGACTACCCACAGATGGACCAATCCCATAGAAAGGCAGGAGGTTTGCCTTCTCATCTTCTTTTTGAAACAGGTAAACAGGGCCTCCCACAGCCTGATGTTTACTTGGCAGCTAAAAAAGAGAAAGGAAAAAAAAGTCTCGTGCACATGTGTGCACCCAAAATCCTGAAAGGAGGGAGAAATGGAGAAGGGCCCACTTGGGGGAGGGGTTTCCTTGCTTTCTCCCTTCCCCCCCCCCCTCTAGTGAGCACACGCACCCTCTAGCAAAATTTAAAAAATATAGCTAAGCAATACTTAAACAGTAAAAACAGTATGTTCTTTAAACTCAGAGTTCTATCAGAGCTGCAGCTACAAGCCCCATAAATCGGTACTGGATGTCTACGTGTCCTGTAGGCTAGCAGCAGGCTTGGTTCAAATGGTGTCAACAGGCTTAGGGGTTGCCCTCTGAGGGCTGGCACAGGATCCGGGTGTCCTGCGGGACTGAGTGTCACGACACACAATGATCTGGCTGGCTGGGAGTTGATAGTTTGCCAGCTTGACTCCCAGCCAATCAAGGAGGAACGTGAAATTCCAGTTTTATTTGCCCCAAACAACCCCCCTAGGGAAAAGAGGCCACCCCAAATTGCCAGAACAGCCTGTGAACACGGTTCCTCACCGGTCAACGATCTCACTTTGTGTAGCCTTGGAAAGTCTCCAGTGTGATAATATTCAGCAGTACACACAATGATGACTCGGGTGCTTTGAGTACTTTTTTTTTTTTTTTTTTTTTTTTTTTAGATAGTTTTTGCTTTGGGTTTTTTTTTTTTTTTTTTTTTTTTTTAAGGAGATGTTGGCCTTAGGGCACAGGTGCTTGCCCTGGGGCAGGGGGAGACAGACATGGTGAGAAGGAAAGTGAGAAAGCACTTCCCAGGCAGGATGGCCAACTGCTATCCCCTCTCCTCCAGGCTCCTCTTGGTATGTTGAGCACACACATGGACATGTGCCTGGCATGATTTAAGGTACCAGGTCCAGGACTCGAACCCCAGCTGACCATGTGGGAGTCCAGTGACATAACCGCTATGCAATCTACAGGTTCCTGGGTACCCGTTTTGAAAAAGTAACTTAATGATATACTCTTAGGGTCTGGAGGTAAATATTCTCAAAGAAAACGCAGCTTATAAATTGAATTTGACATGATGTATTTAGAGTTAAAATAATAGAAGACAAAACAGAACAAACGTATTGCTGTTGAAGACAGAAGTACAGGTTTAAGAGTCATGGAGGTAAAAGAAAAAGATAATTGAATGAAAAGAACAAGAGCCTGGGAGATGTTTCAGTGTTCTCACTTCGACGTAACACACTTGCATTTTTAGAAAACTAGGTAGAATGTGTGTGAGAGAAAAGGGGGAGGCTTGGGACCAGCAGTTAGCGTAATGGCTATGTCGCTGGACTCCCATGTAGTCGACCGCGGTTCGCGTCCCGGACCCGGTGGCTTAAAACTCACGCCGGGCGCGTCTGCATGCGTGCCCAAGATCCCGAGAGGAGAATGGAAGAGAAGGGATTGCGGTGTGGCCATCCCCTGGGGGGGTGTGATTTCTC